GCGACTTCATGCATAGACACTTCGTTTCGTAGTGAGAACCAGCCGTCTTGAAACGCCTAACTGCGGTATCAAACGTAAAACTCAATAAATAGAGAGGCAAGCTAGATGACTTTTTTCCTAACTTATGTGGAATCGATTTTTGCGTATAACACGCTGCTACAGATAGATTTATGCTATAGATAGATTTAATGGACGTATGTAAACTGACATGTGCTTCGAATCATGTATACAAAATATATGATTAATTATCCGCAAAAAATAACTTACTTTTGCATACCTGATAACTTAGAGTAAGTTACGCAACTGGTTCTGGTAAGACCAAACACAGTCATGCGGTGGACCCATTTGTTTTGACGCATCCGCTTTAGCTAAATTTTAATGAAATTGAATTGTTGTTGCTTCCGGAAAGATATGTAATTCTCATACGTTGTCAATCTACTTCGCTACTAAATTACGCCAAGACATTGAATTTACGTCTACCCTGCTTTTAAGCCAAGTAACTATTTTACATATTAGGTAATAGAAGATTTTCAAGTTTTTTTAGAAGTTTTTAGAAGATTTAAATAAGATAAATAGAAGAAATCGGAGATAGTTATCATTGCAATGACTTCGAAGAGCTCAGGAGATATTCTGTTAACAGACATTCAAATTTTGAAAGAAATTTGAAACCCCACGATCTGCGATAACAGGATACACAAGGTATTAACAGATCAAGAGGTCAATAAGAGGTTGGATAAAATGGAATTAAAAGCCGTGTTAGGATGCCAGATTACTAAATTTAATATCTGGTAAGGCAAGAGATGTCGGGACTAAAAAGGTGATTACAGAAATCTGCAATTGTTTTAGTGGTGTTAAATTTTTTTCAGTAGATCAACATAGTAATTTAAGTGAGAGAAGTGTAATGTCATTACCAATTGCTAGGTTGCTAGTAACTGCAAATTTCCCTATTCCGTATCAATTTCCGTTAATAAAAAAAGATATACCAAAGTTGGTCTGGCTGGTCAATTCTAGATGATCTGTATCGCTCGCCGTATGGTTTTATTTGTTTGTACTCGTGTACATTTACGCAGAACCTCTGTATAAATATCTACAATATAGTGACAAGGCCCTTACAACAATGTCAGTAGCCGTACTCATCATGCTTCTGGGCGTTTATTTTCAATGCGCGCTAAAACGGCCCCTTCTTTACGTAGACTTTCATCTAAGAAAAAAGAAACCATTTTGTCAGGAGAGGAAATTATGTGCTGAAATTCGCACGCGAAGCCAGCCCACTTAGGCCCTTTCAACTTGGAGCCTGTTTATAGCATTAATTTCTGTACGTCACCTCTCCTGCAGAGCAATGGTGATCACTATATTCGGACTAACAAGTATCAAGTACCTATTTAAGTGATGTATGTTAGCTAAGGCACTGTTTTATTGCTTTTGCCCTTCTTTGACAATCAAAACCTAAGTTTAGAAAAATGTAGAGCATATCCACTTAGTGTATCGCAAGCTTTCAAATGGTACCAAGATCAACTCATTTACATAGATCTTCTGTAAAAAAGGATACTATTTGGTTAAGAAAACACACTGAAAGGTTTGAGAAACTGACCCTCCGAAAGATGGCCCACCTCAACTCAACAACTTCCTGCATCCCTAAACAATAACAAAAACGAATGGCCAAAAAGTCAAAAACGTATTTCGTCTTTAGACAGGCAGACATTAGTGGTGCTAGCAAATAAAGTAAGTACATTTGTAGACGGCAGTGCGATGTGCAAGGCCTATAGTACGAACATCAGATTTGAGACAGCTTGGTTTGAACCACCCAAGAAGGCAAGAACGCTCAATTAGCCTTCCGCCTGTGAAATTACTGAATTAAATGCCTTTACTATACATACTAATAGAAAAAGTAGTACTCAAGAGGATATATAGAAGTACTAGTACCACAGCGGCAACGGTTCCGTTCAAACTGTTCGCCATGTAACTTAAACGATATACTATAACAAGTCTACCTGAGAATATCACAACTAAATGGTCGTACAATTAGCTGAAAATCACAGAGAACTTTATTCAACCTCTATAAGAAATTAGAAAAGCGTATAACGCTAGATTTTATTTAAAAGTTCCAGGGATATATTCAGGTTCCAGGCGCATTTGTCGTAATATGTGTGATAAAGGTAAACAGAAATATTTTTTTACCGTGAACCACTTAGGAAACGGTCCGATGATGAAGGCTTTTTTATAAGTGTGGCTGCGAGAACGCCTAGCTAAACTTCGAAGAGAGCACTCGGATCAACTCTAAAATATATCCCCAGACCTAATGAGACAATCACTACAATCGACTGGAAGGAGGCCAAAATCCTGAAACAGCATTTTGATCAAACTTATTAAATCAAAGCTAAGCTTCACGCAGCGAAATCAAAGAAGCCGTGCGGCCTTTGCCAAAGTATGGTATACAACGAGGATCTTTTCCGCTAAACATTTACCATCATCTTAAGAAGCTACAGTGAAAAACGGGTAACAGGCGCACTCGTTCAATCCGGGGTTGCTTGCGTGCATTTTGCTTTTATAGGTTTTTAGAAAACTATTTGACAAAGCAGAAATGTCAAAAATACTTTTTACCATATCTCCTACACGGAACTTTGGTATAAAAGTGGCCGCAACATTAGCTTCTGATAAATACCTATCTCACTTAGCCAAATAATCGACGGCACTTATAAATACAATCTTTAACTCTTTTTTTGAAGGTTTATATTTGTTTGTACAATTGTTGTATCTAAGCGTTCGTACTATGGCACGTTTGTATCGTAGTTGTGAAAATTTTAGGCTTAAAGATATGTAAAAATAATTTTTAAAATAACTGTGTTCGAAATGTTCGTTGGAATATTACCAAATTGTTCCGTTTCCCATATTAGCCTCCTCTGGTATGCAACATGGTCGTGCCTTCTCCCAATTTTACAAAGCAGACCTCATAAACCATCTAGTTTAAAACCAATAACCTTCATAAGAGGTGCACTGCCGTTGTTGAAGCCATCACGCGAAATGAAATTGAAAACAAGAACTATGGTTAGAAAATGCCCAAATGGCACCTACTTAAGCGCGGCACCCTAGTGCTCTTGGTGCATATAATATAGGGTATACAATGTTTACACTATGTACCATACACCCCCTTTTGTGTAAATAAAAGTGTTATTCGATTTAAATACAAATGTCCAAATTTGTTGTATACTCCGCTCACAAAAAACGCTCAAAAACATGCTTTTTTGATAAACAGGTAGCGTCACTGACTTGCATCGGATGCAAGATAACAAAAGGCATCGTAATCTTTTACATGCTCAATGCTCAGTTCGATAGGCTTAACAGATGTAATAAAGTTTAAGGCTTTGGTGCGATATAATACGATTTTAAGCCTTCACGCCTGAAAAGATCACGCACTCGAGGCTATCGGTCCTTCTTTTTGATCATGACGCAACGTCGGCGTGAGATCCATCCAGAGCACTGTTATTGATCAAAGTCAATGAAATAATTTAACAAACGTTGTGAAACTTTAACTTATTTTTAGTTTTGTATGCAGGTAAAACAGTGACTAATAAAACCGTGATGGATGGAATCGAAACAATTATAATCTTTAAAGAGTTCTAAAATGTATTGGATTAAGATTTTATGAAAGCGGAATTTTAGGTAAAGCACTGAGAAACTGGGCACCAATTCAGATTCATACAACTTTTTTGAAAATAGCAATGACTACTTTTCCGCGGAATAGATCAGAGGTAAGTCTTTATTGTTATCAGTTAATTTGAAGGAAAAAATGGCGAAGCTGGCCGTATTTTTTGTTGTGAAAGATATGTACGTACATTTTAATGGGTTCACTCTTGTCAATTCTAAACATTGCACTGCCGTATTGGTGATAGAAAGGTTACAAACGATGTTAGTTAGGAGCTGCCTGTATAGGGAAGACCAATAGCTGGCAAATTATTTAACATTATTCCCAAATTTAGTGGGTCTTAACAAGTATATGGGAACAGAAAAGACTGACTTATATGGGTCGTATCAATTTCTCGAGCTACCGCACGGGGGCATTTGTGAAAGAACCCTGCACTTCTTAGTGACTAACTAATTAAATGTTGCTGGCTAAAGATACACGCAATAAAATCGCGCAGTTTGCGAAATATATTACCATGTTGCTTCTACTAAAGCAAAATGTGTATTTACACTATGCACATGCTCCTATGGAGAAGGTATCCCCAATACAGTAAGGAAAACAAAAAAATAAACTTCGTCGAGTTACATCCCGATACAGGTTTTTGCATTTCTGCTTGTAATGAAAAAAAATTCTCAGTAGAAGACTTATATCAGAGAAATGAAAAAGCTGTGCAACTGCTCTTTCAAACTGAGCAACACAAAACTCAGTTTAGAAGCTTGTAAAGATGGTGAATCGGACACCACACCTTATTAAGTTTCTCGTCCATTCAAATTTGGATAATTAATTCAGAGATTTCTTTAAAAACAAGTTGAAAAGAGGTTAAATTACGTTGATTTTGTGTGAAGTAAGCAAGTGAGTTTAAAAGAAAGTACAAATTATTAAAAACTGGTTGTATATAGGTCGTACCATCTTGTAGCAGACAATGCAGCTGCGATTCGGCAAAATCCATCAGTTTCGTAAGTAACACAATACGTAGCTTATGGCAGCCATTGTAGAATCTGTCAGACGCCTTGTTAAAGGCGATTAATAAGACATCCTTAATGAGATATTTAAGTAGAAACCACGGCTGTGTATCTAGGTCTATAAAGTGGTTATACATCTATACTATGGAAACGCATGCTTATTCTCATGAAAATAACATGCTTGAGTAGAACACCGATATATATATTGCCTTCATTGACCTGTTTGATTATCTATCTGGTTCAGATATTCCAAAGTAGTGTATTTTTCAACCAACATTTAACGCACAATTATTTTTACTGTATAGAGGGTCAAAGAGTATTACTCTGTTTTGTAAAATGCTATGCAAACAACATACCTGTTGGAAGGTATCGATAGCGGCTGTATTGCTAAGGTCAAGTATCGTAGGTGTTGATGCTGTCACTGGTCCTCCACGTTTTCCGAGTCTAGACAGAAACTCGTTATTGGCGTTGATTTTATTTTTCATCCTCTGCTCCATCATATCTAGAATCATTTTCTGTCGAAGGACGTCTAGCGGGCCCACTACCGACAGATTTGGCATACCGCCTGCCCTGTTTAGAACAATAAACAGAGATATACGAAGACTTAAGGAACTTACTGATTTCGATAAATTATTTGGTTTAAATTCGTCTGAAGAGACAATGTTTACTTAATATTAGAAAGGTTTGATACAATGAACAGAATGAGACGCGCGATCTTTATTGATGTAATGTACGCGATAGTCTTGGTGGGTACAGTTCATTCATATATATATATATATATATATATATCCCTATAGCGATTAATTTCGCCAAAATTTTCCTTTTTGCTTTGCTACTGGTTTCAATGATATCGAAGAATCCTTGTTCAACTGTGGTTGCTTCTTTTTTTATTTTATCGATCGTTTCACCGTAATAAAAGCTGAACGGCATTTTGAAGTCGTCTTTGTTGCAACGGCATTTATATAACTCCTCTTATAAACGCGTCCATAACTTCTTCAGAAAACCCATATCTAACTTTCGGATGCCACAGTGGAACTACGCACATCATGAGTAGGTCTATATATACAGGCTTCGCCGAAGCATATTTTGCCACTGATTCAACTGATTGCCGTTCTACGCTTTTACCCCCAGCCTAGCTTAAACTATAGTATACACCATCAGTTATCTCGTCACTGTACCTAGCATGTTACCCGTTCACAGCTGTTTCATAAACCCTTCCTAAGACAAACAAATTTAATTTGCATTACACCTAGCCTAAAGTAAATTATAGTTTGACAGCAGACTTGCACTTTTACAGTTAATCCTCCTAGGGTTCTGTGGCACCAACTGAGTGATCTCGTTTCAGATATCGCGTCACAGTCATTCTATTTAATCGATTCAATCAATCTATTACCTTGCATTAGTGAGCTCATTATTTCTTCTGTATTGGTCATGCCGCCCTTTCATCTCCATTAATCGCTTCATAACCGTTAAGCTGTATCTTCCTCCGAAATTGGATTTCATGGTTATTTTGGGGTATGTTTTATTTTTAAAGTAAGAAAAATTCTCAAATGCTTGCATTGAACACACTGAGTATTATTCCGAAACGAACAACTGGGATTTGCATAATCCAGGCATCTGCGAAGGGTAAGGAACCAACTATCAACACTTTTTTTTGATAATGATCTGGCATGTTACCACATTCCTTGTAAGTTAAGCCGTTTATGAGATTCTATATTGACATCTGTGTGCTTATTTTGTGTCAAATGTTTATTTTTTTCCTTCAATAGAATTCGAGAAATGAGTCATGTAGAATTTAATAACAAACAGTTTAATCCTTCTGAAATTACCAAGGATTGTCGAACGCAATCACCAAAAAGAGTTAATATTACTCATCAAATTTCTTAATTAACTCTACCTCATAAGAAGAGGAAGAGGCACGAACTAATCAAATCAGCATTACAGGTTTCTATGGAAGAAAGAGACTATTCCTTGGGAAAAAGTATTTATACAGCCGAACAATATGAACCGATATGGTCCATATTTCATCAGTTCCCTATTTTTTTCGGCAAAAAACACTATTTTACGATTAGATCAGATAAAATCGAAAATTATACCTACATACAATGTTGCAGAATTTTATAATTTCTAAAACGACAGGTATTTTTCCCGTATAGTCCTTCAAAAAAAAGCACTCGATCTGAATGCTTCCTCGATTCGTATACCCATTTCTGCGCCTTCGTTAAAGAATACATGAGGATTGTGAAAATGCTGGAAAAATACCGGGTGGCGTTCGGGGAACTTTCGTAACCCTCGATCCGCGTATTGCATGTGTTTCTAATTTAAAAACAGGACTTGCCTGAAACAAGAAAAGACACATTTATCTAGCCAAACAAGATTACTGTATATCAGAAGATAAAATGCTCATCGTTTTTAAAGCGGTCTAATATTTTAGCAATATATTCGAAAAGTGAAAAAGGCAATTTGGAGCAAAACACACCAAAATATTCTATAAAAAAAAAACCTAAAGGTGGGCTCGCGCGATAAATTTACAAATTTTCAGAAATGAACTTTGTTGCCATTCATTAACGCTTTGTCTCGTCAACCACAATAGGCAAAAATAGCTCTGTCCTCACATTTAATCCTAGATGAAACCGTTTAGGTATATTAGCAAGTAGTAACCCAAGTTTATTTTGACATAAAAATAAGATGATAAAGGCAAAAAGGCGTCCTAAATTTTTTTATGTACAACAAATTGTTGTCTTTGATCACACTATTTTTGATGACGAAGAAATAAAATTGTGTTCCCAGCAAAGATATTCGGACGCAGCTTAGGAGTCTGCACAGCCCTCAATCTAGCACTAATAGAAAAACTTATTCAACACATGAACAGCGCGGTATTACCTGATATCACTGGTCAAGGCAAAACTGGGTTCGCTGTCATTCGTGCCCATTTGTAGAACAAGAACATCATGGAGGGCTCATATTTGTAACTACGAGCTGTCCGATTGAATTTCGTTGCATTTGCCTTTCCAGCCAAATTTTGGATACATTAATAATTTTCCAATTTTGGCATGTATTTCGTTCAATAGTCATCGAATATTCATTGTCATCATCGTCATCCATGTTTTCATTCGTGACCTAAGGCTTCAGTTAAGCTTTATTTATTTAGTAAACCTTTCGACTTTTACTTCCCCTTTGCTTAGAGGGCCAGGCTTTCTAAGTGATTACTATAAATTATGTTTTTATATCCATTGTCAGCAGGATTCCTATATTGAGATTTCGGTCTTGGCCGCGAATATGTACAGAATTACACGACTTTACTTAAAGGGCTTAAAGTATTTTTTTCGAACTTTATGGCGTAAGTTTGTTCGCTTAGTTCATAGTTTCAATGTAAGACCTTTGACTGTACAAACTGAAAAAAAAACTTACTGTAGAAGAACGTAATACACAAGTATCGCAGATGACTGACAGATGATAGGCTATTGGTTTTGCCGTAGCGAGAACAACCCTGATCAAATAAGTAGGATGTACTCAGTATATACCAGCAGCTAATTTCGTTGACAAGTGGCTACCTATCACGCACATTAAAGGGCAAGAATAATCTTTCTGGCAATAAAATGTCCTTCCAGCATGAGGTTCATGGAGAAAATGCTACGGTGATTCAAGAAAATCCATTCACTAACTGCTTACGAAAAACAGGGCTGTAGGCTACCGGAGACACTGATAAGCACTCTACGAGCCTTCCGAGAGGCTACATAAAAGAGTGAACTGGCTTAATGGCTTTCTTGGACTGCCGAAAACCAACTTGAAAGTATTACAACAGCCCCTGCTCTCCTAAGTTGTTTTTGAGCCAAGAACACCCCAGTAGCTTTGCTAGCTACGAAGTCAAGCAAATCGGTTTGAAGACACCATAAAACTCTCTTATTAGTCTTACAACAACAGGATTTGCCTAAACATTAATAACAGGATTTCTTTAGTGATACGATTCGCTGGGAGAGCGGAAATGTATTTCTTGAAATTTCATTAATTTAAATCGACTAGCATTGCCAGTACCAGGTGGCAAATATGGATTATGTCTTTGAATTAAAACAGGTAACTTTTCTCACTAACCAGGGTTCAGTTCTGTGTCTGAAAGCATAGTTACATAATAGAAATTCGTTTCCGCCAAGTAGTAATGAATCCAGAAGCTGCAGACATGCACCTGAGCAGCTTTTCTGCTCAGTCAGTCCACTTTTGTACTTTCTGTTCCAGCGTTGTGCTATTCGATTGTTTGTGTACTGTACACTGTAATCATTGCTAGCATCCCAACGTGACATAATCGCGATATTCAAGTTGTTTCTTGGATAACTTCTAGGAAATATTTAATTAACGGTTTGTATATCAACACAATTCCTCGAGAAATACGGGGCAAAATCAATTTAGGTAGTTCGATTAAGACTAGCGTCTGTTGTACACAAATAAACGATAATATAATCGATAATAATAAACTAATATATTTTGGAAAATGTGGAAAATCATATCGGGATTAGCGATAACGGTTAACGATAAGCGTGCATAACCTAAAACAGGAAGTCCCCAGAATATGTCATTATAAATGAAGTAAGATTTTGACAATGCTGGCTGGTGGTTGATCACAATGCCTGAATTGTTTTAGGGCCTATTCTAACTATTCTCATATTTAAATCGCTAAATACAGCTTCGTGCAGCACTCCGTAAACATTTCCGTTCAGTGTCGTGGTAAGGTCCAAGAGATCCCGATTTTAATTCTGCCATACACAAAGGTGCACGTAAGACAATCTCAAGTGAATTCCGAGTTTGAAATCTGAAAGTCACCGATATCATCTTTAAACCGTTTCTGTAAATAACGTGATATCCTGTCGTATCTACCGAGCTTTCAACGACCTTCTTGTGATAGTAACAAGTACCCCACCTCTTTATCCATTGTCCTATAGAACCCACAAAAAGTAAGACATCTGTACGCAATACCCAAGAGCACCCTTAAATTACAAATGTGGGTTTATCCAAAACTCCTGCAAACTATGTTAGGTAAACAATGATGCATGAATTAATGAAGGCCCTTCTGGGAATTACGCAAGTGTTTGTGACTCTATTGAAGCAATAACCGCAGAATTTGACTAAGAGCTAGAGCCAGGTGGCCAATGCGTTCTGAAATATAAGTTTCATAAGGAGGTCAAAAACTGATTCCTTTTGTTCTAAACATTTTAGGTCCCTTCCTGCTGGGATACCGTTGCAGAAAGCTCTGCTTCAGGCGTTGTATTAAGTCTGCCCACCAGCAAAGCTATTTTTAATTCTTAGTACTTAATCCTGCCAAATTTGCCGATCTCTTAGACCCAGTTATTAGCGGCCATTATTCGGGTTACATGTACGACTACCGGTACTGCTAACTGGAAGTTGTGTTTAGATTGCGAAGTTTCTAATGCTCTCGTACGTCGCTCCTCGGAGCACCTCCTACACGTAGTACCTTAAAACGGGGCTTGTCTCCCGTATCGTACAAGCCTCAGTAATTTACGCGACTAACTTCTTGAGAAATCTGTGTCTTCTCATAGGTTTGTCACATATGGCTTAAATAATCTTTTTTGTGATGAGCTCCAACGAAGAAGGCGTATCTGACCTGGTCTTCCTAATACATGTGTTTCCAGTGTTTAGTGTCTATGTAATCCAGGTACTGTAAAACTCAAAGCAGGGCAGTTGCACCGCCAAGAAAAATTACTCGCCGTAAGGCATGAACACACTAGTAGACCAACAAGTGGGATTTGTCTTGTTCATGGATTTGTGAACCTTACTTCAATCACGGAAGCTTACTACTTGATCCAAATGTTCTTAAACATTTGCCTGGCGTTAGTTATGGAATGACATTTAAAAGAATAATTTTCTCGAGTCGTTCTTGCACAGCACTTCCGGTTTGCAGTGTGTGCATTTCAAACAGGAACCTTACGACTTAACATCCTTTCCAAAACAAAAACATAATTATAAGTAAAAGGAACTCGTAAAATGGTATAATAATAAAAATATTAACAAATGCGCTCATATACTAACTTACAGAAGGTTAATACTAAAACAGAAGCTGCTTTTCATTTTATGATTAAAATGAAAAACCTCAACTTCATACACAGATATGCTGCACTGGTTAGTTAAACCACAGTACTTGCTTTAGATCTCGGCCGAATAAAGAGCTCAATGCTACACCGATGTCAAAAGTATTTAAATAAATCGAATTTCATATGCTTGTATTTGTTTTTGAATACTTTTCATATTAATGTCACAGAAAATAGGGCAAATTCATATAGTAAGCTCACAAAGGTACTTACCAACATTTTGAGCCTTTTGTACTGCGCCGTTTTATGGAGTACAGAGAATATTTCTCTTAGTTGATCCTTTGCCCAGAGTGTCTCATGACTAAAAGCTGACTAACAACTGACAGCTCTGAATTTTTTTAGCTGTTACAGCGACAGCCATGAGGTAGCAACGCCGTTTCCGAATTTGTAACTTTTCAGTATTATTCGTGTGATTCTTACTATAGCACCCCCATGTCATTTGGATGTTTTCTTCAATGCGATAAACGTAAAATGCATCCACCTACGGTTGAAAGGTCTCACTTTTATTAGAAACTGCCTTGCATGGAGACGAACATACAGTTTACTCCTAATAGTGCTTAATTCTTAATTTGTTTCTATTGGAGTAATAACAAAGAATTTTCGACCAATGACAATGTTAGACAAACGAGCACTGAAAATGAACCGGTCCATAGTTCTTGTTCCATTCGTTAACTTCCCTAATTTCCTTGTTCAGTTGTATGTTACAGGGATAAATTATCGCATTTTTTTCATTCTATACTCCAATATGAATAATGTTCGATGGAAATTATGCTCTAAAATAATACATATAGGTTTAGGTTCGCCAAAAAGACTATTTATTAGAGAATCTTTACAATTCGAAGGCGATTTAGCCGCATTTAAATTTTACTTTGGAATGTTTGAGGAGAGGCTCGTTTCGTAATTTTCCTATCAATTGACTAGTATAAGTACAATTTTGCTTTAAAGCTAGATTTAGAAATTATACACATTTTAGGTCAAGGAATCGCATTGTGAGCAGAGGCTCAGTCTTTTAAAGTGTGCTTAGTTCATGGACCTACCAAGATTTAGGTCTGTTTCTGTCTTTGGAAAACTTTAACGGCTTTAACCGGCAAAGGTGTAAAAGAAAAAGTAAATTGTGATTGTTAATACTAAAACTATTTTCCCGACAATCGCAGGTTTTTAGAACCACTTTATAAATCTGAGCTCCGACAGTGTGCCGGCTCACACTTCGCCGCAAGTATAGATTTTTGCCGGCAGTCAATCTCTACCTTCATTCATAGTTTTCTTTAGGTGACTTCCTTTTTTATGAAAAAAAAAATTACAATAACATGACGAAGACGATTTGAGAAGCTAGAAGGCGGTTTTAATTTAGTGTTTGAACTACTCAAATGTTATGCAAAAATTTTCTTTCTAAATTCGCAAACAACTTTTTAGTACAAACTGTGAGTGTCCCAATATTGGCAGTGAAGACTTGTTAAAATCCTGACCAAATACACCAGGCAGAAATAATCTAAAGAATTTAAATATCAGAAAACGTTTATCTTCACTGTTGCAGCTCAAAGTTTGTTGTAAAATAGCTGTTGTAAAAAGAACTGTTTCGGTCTTAATACAAAGCGTAGGGGATGAGCGTAGGCCTGATGGGACAAATGTATCCCAATTGATAAGCACTTTTGTATTTAGTAATCCGATTATTAGCATATAATAATAATAGGTCTTCTTGAAAAATTTGAAATTACAAAACTGCGTTGATTTGTATGCGTCCTGCGGGGCTGGAGCCGGGGATTCTGAGAGTCTGTTTTAAAACCTGATAGATTGGGTATATTGAAATTAAGATTAGCGGCACTACATATAATGCCCCTAATCTTAATTGATGTGTGAGATTTTTCAATAATAAAAGAATCTAGAAACCTGAAATTTCAATTGATGTCTGACGGTTTAACTAGCAATCTATGTGTTGGAAAAACATAGTTATTAAAAGACTGTACATACATACGAAAATTATTTATTTATATACCAGTGTCCCTTAAAATAACGCTTTTTTTGATTAGTATATATACGCCGATTTCGGTAGAAACAGCACCTCCATTAGAAATCCGTGCGACTATATATTTAGATCCTCACTCCGCTAAGCATTTTTATCAATCAAAACCAGCATGTATACATGTATTACATATATTATAGCTAGCGAACATCTATTATACCAACCTTTTTTGGAGGTGAAGAAATGAAGCTGTCGAGCGAGTTGTTGGTTTCTGTAGAGACCCTCACATCAAAGGCAGCTTCATACCCAGACATATCTCATCTAATTGCTATAAATTCGAGACTTAACAGTATGTTGGTCAGAATACTGTAGAACCGTTGTTTATCTGGATCAGTCATTGTACAGTAAAGTGTTTCCTTCCGACATTTATTGAAAAATATGAATTCTATCCCTCTTGCTTTCATTTGTTATAAGGTTTGCCTAAGCTTATCAACTGTTGTGCTTTCCAGATGCCCACTACCGTCTAAATAAATCGGCTTTCATTCACTTTTGCCTCATAAGAATTGAGTCTGTTAAGAATATCCCTTTAACTATTTCTGGCTCGCAAGTTATCATAATTTCCATAGCCAAATTTCCGGATATTCGCCTAGATAAGCACCTGTCAAGCAACGCAAATTTAACTCCGTTCGTAATGAGGAACTGCTATAATGCCTATTTTTAAAGCTAAAAAACTCCTGAAAAAATGTTTTCCCCTATATCATGTTTTCTTAAGTGCTAAAGTGGCTTCAAAATGTAAATATTTCAACCTACACTACGATAATAAGATTGAATTAATATTGAAACCTAAAAAACCTGCACTAAGGAGCTTGCTCTGCCTACTCCATTTTCTGAATAGATATATTGATATTGTAATAGTCTTGACAAAAATCGCGACTTAATAAAATAATATTTTTGTTAAGCTTTGAATAAACCATAACAAGCTGTTTATGTTAATGAATAGCCTAAAATAAACAAATATGAGCGTGTTATTCTTGTGTTCAAATACCAACCTCGCCATAAATTATAAAAACGATTAATGCAAAAGTAATACACGCCGAACTTCACAGGATAAACCTAAGGAGCACTAATGTGAAAAACACCACTTAAAACCATTTAAACCATCTCTTCAAACGCCGCAATGCGTCTAAAGAAATATTCACTAGGCACTTCAGGTCAATGTTCCGTTTTTTCTGTTCAACCATGATCAAAGAAGGCTAGAACTAGTGAGCTTCCCACGAATTTGACAAGGGAAGATAATATAGTCACTGGCTGACTCAAATAGTCACCTATCAAATATCTATGTGCGAATCCATCAGACGTATACGTTGAAAAAACTCTATATTCATTTTAAAAAATACGAAGTATTGTTATGTTTCTTGCTTTGTAAAAGTGTTGGCTTTTTTACATAAAAAAAGGGCAGCAACCAAGCCTAATTTTGATGTCTTTCTATTAGTTAGTAAGTGTTAAAGTTTATATAGTATATGGAGAAACAATAAATACAAATGAACGTATGCAACGTATTTTTCGAATTAAATGTTTTAGTCAAACGTTTTTAAACAGCGCACGGAACGCAAATGCCAAAGGTGTTGAACCTTCTTGGCGCCTCTAAATATAAATTTGCTCTGAGTAGACTGCTGATTGATACGGAGAAAATTCAACGCCCAGCAATCCAAATCACATCTTTAGTTTGCTAGCTTGCGGATATTTAATTGATACAATTAAATGTTTATCTAGACTGGTTATTCACAGAGATAACCATGAGATCTTATTAATTCCAATACTGTCACTTGTTGCACTCAAACTTGAGTACTTACCGCCGGTGTAACATGAACGCCTTAGGGTAGGGAAACGTTTGCGGTCCTTGGGGTACGTATGCACTACATCCTGGCAACGTAAACGATATTATCGATAAAAGAGCCACCCCTGTGAGCCACGTCGACTGTTTCATCGTTATTTTAGTATCGATGGACGAAAAAAATCAGTTAACAACAATGACGACAGGGTGAACTCGCTGGCAACCTGATGCTGCTGCTACAACTTCAACAATAGCTGTAACAGTAGCAAATCTAGCTGACAACTCCTGTAAGGACAGCAGAGTTATCAGAAAACAATTAGTATAATAAATACTCATGGCTAGAAAAAAAACACTAAAGAACTAGCTATGGTAGAAATACGGTAAGTATTTGGCTGCGGATCTAATTAATAGTTAAGTTAAGCTAGCACAATTAATCATAAATATTTACAACTAGCGTAAACCAAACTTTGTACATAAACAGACCGAAAGCGTATGTTCTGAGGCAATAAAAACTTTTTTCTACTTAACTCTACATGTCGGTTAGTATGACTGGTATTCATGTGAAACATATTAATTTGCTTGTAATCATTCTTAAATATGTATATGGTACATAATTGTTAGCAATGGAGTGAAATCAGCTGTACGAAGACGAAGACGAAAATAATCGAAAATGGCATATCAAACGCTAAGGTTCTCTCTTTAACCAATTTTCAGTCAAACATACCTTACGGCTTTCGTCTTAGAAATTCTCAGGACATTACTACAGAAGGAACCATGAGTCGCACGTGATCGGCTTCGTGGCCATCACGCATACTAGACCAGTTCTGTCTCCCTACAACTGGCATCTCAGACTACAGCCACATATTTGATGGCTGAGAATGGCTGGGAACTACCCCTTCAGAGATAAAAATAAAAAGTTATAGTTAAACCGAAAAACTGGAGGATATGACCACAACGGTAATTCTTGTTATCATAATTACCGCCTGGTAATAAGTTTCGTTGAGTTTTAAAGAAGCTGCACCGAAAGGAAAATTAAATTAGAAACTTATTAATACTTACTAATAATAAAATAATTTGAAATTTATTAGTATGCAACTGGAAAATAAAAACACATTTTTTATTTTCCAGTTGTATACTCGAGACTAACATCACTGCATCAAATGGGAACTTGGGAATAGGCAGTTAAATGTTATACCTGTCAAAATAAGTCGTTCCAATAGAACCATACATCTGCCAAGAATACCACTTTGTACGAATTTCTAGACCTTATATTTGTGTCAGTCAAGACGTATGCTATTTTGGAAAATTGTAATAGAAATGAAGATCACATCGAAAAATTGTAATGCAATTCTGAACCTGCATCAGCAGCTTAACACGACTAGAAAGATCTAGGGTATATACTATTCTGAGAAAAACGAAACATATACTTATGGCGCTGATATATCACAAGAATAGTACGATAAGGGAAGTGTAGTTATCTATACTACTAAATATATACACACATGCAACATTTTCATCTATTAGATCTACTAGATTAGATGAAGAACAAAAATAATTCTGTGCCCATTTGCGCGTCTTTTTGATGAAGCGCAAATCTTCCCCCAGGAGCTCTCTTCAAATATTCTTTTGCCTATTGTTTCCACTTATCTTTACTCAACGTTTAGCAAGTTTATAGTACTATCTCTTCTTGCAAGGGAACCCGTGCTCTTCATATAATAATTTATAGAGTTTTTATAATGTCTAAAAATTAATAATTTCATCATTAAATAAATTCTGCAAAACTCGAAACACTTAATAGTCTAACAGAACAAGCATTGGACTGGCTTGTACGTGATAACATCTCAGACAAAGTCCACCATTTTTTTTAGGATGTTTGGAAAAGAAATTCTACCTTATTAGTAGCTGTCCTTCTATCAACTTTTGAGCATAAATTGCCTTCAATTGACCCTGCTTTTCACAATCTTAAGCGCAGCGATTATCTTATCACTGATTTCACACCACACATACTTTAATCGCCTGAAATACAAAACAACTTACTCAGAGAGGAAGGGTGCTACACTACGGCGCATTTAGGGAATATTGTTCGTCATGCTTTTTCGCTGTTTTTTTTTTGTGAAGCGCTAATTCTAACTCGTGCAAGCGCTAACTTCTAGTCATGACCGTAAGCAGAAAGTTCAATCCACTTTATTTTTCAGCAATCAACCGCACAACAATACGCGCTGCTCCAGCTGGTGATAGTTAAGCGCTTGAATTTGAGAGTTTGATGTGCTCTTGCCACATAGATGAATCGTATTAGGTTTGCGTTTCATGCATTGAGGATACCATTTGCCTCTTTTAGCGAAACATGTAAATTTGTGTTCTCAAATGCTGGAAGTTATCATCTTTTCAAAATAAAGAAAAATGCCAAAATTTTCCGTTGTGGTTCTCCATTTTTTTTTGGAACATAATTTTTGGCTTCACCTTAGATGCATGCTCGCTCCTGAAGAAAAGTTTCCCACCCAGATTTTTCAGAAAAGCTTACTCTATATCAGTGCTGATTAACTAATTAACTAAGTACCAAATACGGCCATGGCGTTTTCGCTGTATAAGTTTATAAGAGACATTGTCGTAAGAATGGCTCTGCACGTTTTTCCCCCGTAGCTGCCACCAGCCGCCGACAAATTTAATTTAATATTAGTAAGTATAAGCTTAATTAGTCAAGGAGGGGTCAGAGCTCATTAATCCAAGACATATATAAATATATACCTGCACATGACCGTCGGCCTAGTCTCTTTCACTTATAAACAACCATATTAGAGTTGCGTTGCTATTTAACTACTTCACATAGCTTTTTTGAAACTCTCTCTATTAAGAGAGTTTTTTTTCGCGCCGATTAGGTATAAAAAAAAACCCCTGATAGCTTAGTGGGTAACGTCACTAGAAACACGTTGTGATCTATGTTCGAGTACGGGCACACACGCACTTCGTTTCGTGCCGATCATCTGATAGAGTGCCTAACGGTGATGCCAAATGCGAAACTCGAAACACAGATATGTAGGAAAATCGCCCAATGATGGCAAATGTCGGAGGCGATTGTTAGCAACCATAATAAATAAGTATAATTAACATGGATTAACAAAACAGGTGGGCAATTTTTTTCGCAAAAAAAATGGTATGTGATAGTTAACATCAACTTAACAATCAGTTTGTCTTTTTTGAAATCCTCTAGCGAATGGCAGGCAACTACATGAGTCAAATGGAAAAAAGATTGCGTGTTTTAGCAAATATAGAATTTCCTATTTTCTCTTCTCGAATTATCCGGCTTCATGTATTATCCTTCGAACAGTACCTCTATAAGATGAGGAGTATAAAAAGTGCTAACGAGCGTGCTTTCGGCTAGTACATGTCACTTGATGGTTTAGGATCTCCAATTGGAAATATCAGTCTAGATGAAATTCTCGAAATCAGTAGAGTAAAAGTAATTAAAGGAGGCCTTAGGATTCAACTCTTAGCGAATCACTATGCCAAGCTGCATTATTAACGCAACACTGCAGACATCATCGTCCGCTAAACATTATACCTGCGAAACGGAATGAATATTGAATTGTGTGCATACACGCTAGGAAAAACATCCTGCGAAAGCAGTGTGTTGTAGAACATTCTAGAGCGGCTGTTGTTCATTCACTGATATATCTTCTGTTTAAATTAGAAGCTTGCTCTATTTTTGCACATATTAAGGCATAATTATATTAAGGCATAGATGATTATCAGATACCCAGTATAAAGCTCATGATGAACATTTTTAAGTTTTGCTCAAGATGCTTTTGCTTAATTAAAATGTATTATCGCCAAGCACAAAAAGGTTAAGCTAGAATATACTGGAATAGAATATATAGAATATATTGACACTTTCTTATTTAATTTTTATTTTATAATTTTATAATTATTTATTATATACTTATTATATAATTATATTGTATGTAATTATATAATAATTATGTATGACTTGTTTTTAAATTCTTTGCATCTTATAGAGAAATGATAAGGACAGATAGGATAATTACTGTTCATACTGTAAAAAAAATCAACGCTCCACTGTTACTTTAATAAGCCTTTCCATATTTTTAAAATCAAGACTAGTAAAATTACAACGAATAAGAAGATTCGCTGCTGCAAGATCAGAATGGTTCTACACTAGTAGGTATGAAGGGTGGTTTCCCCGCTTGCCCCTTGATCTGTTTAAGGGTGTTCAGAGCGCAGTGGTGCGCGAAACAGGCATCGAACGGATATGCAAAAGCGGTAGTATAGACTGACCAGTTTTATCGATGAATTTGTTGAAACAAATACTCGTGAAAAATAGTGTACCTATAAATATGTTAAAGATCTGTGTGCAAATAGAATAGGTTTACGCTGGTTAGACAGACTCGGTTATTCATGTGAAGAACAAATTGTAATGTCAATTAGTTTATGCTAAAGCTACTAATATACCTGAACTCAATTTTTAGGCTGAGCTTGATAAATTTCGTCGTTGTAGTTTCAGACATAGCATCATACTTTGTGTGAAATGCTTAGCCAAAACATGCAGATTGTGGAAAAAAATCAAACAGTGCATACAACTGGAAATCTAAAAATGAATTGCTGCCGTTTTGCACGGAAACCTTTCATACGTATTTCACCAGTACCTCTGTTAATTAGAAGAGTAAGGTCTTCCTCTTATTAAAGAATTGACCTAGTTGTCTCAAAATGAAGTTCAGTTCAGTATGCCGTGATTTAGTTGCGTATTGTTGAATGTTTGTACTCCTGTCGAGAACTTAAAATGTAGGTTCACGTTTTTTCTTGTTCTCAGAAGAGTGCGGTTATATGGTACTGATAGTTCTTAAAATTACATTGAAAATAGATTACTACTATCTGTTCTATTCGATCTTGTTACCTGTTCTCTGACAAAAGTGCATAACGTGAATACAACACGCTCTCATATGGATATGAAGCTTTAATGATTTAGTTGGTTCATGCGTAGGCCTCGCCTTGCGCTA